TATGTTGGAAATGTTTGTAAGACATTATTACTACTTCATGCTTTGAGGTATCCCAAACCATACCGGCCACCAAAGAGCTTCTTAACATCTTAATTTAAGATGTCTGAAACAGAAAGTTCAGGATGTTATGATTTTCCTTAGACCGTGCCAGCTTGTGAAATGCAAAATGCTGATGAATTCAAAGTAAACAGCAAAACCCATTTTAATTCAATTCAATTCAAATTTATTTCTATAGCGCTTTTCACAATACATATTGTTTCAAATCAGCTTTACAGAAAGTGCATTTCAGAAATGTACACACTCTCAGAAAAAAAGGTACAAAAGCTGTCACTGGGGCTTTTCAAAAGGTACACTTTTGTACCCAAAAGCTGCATATTGGTACCTTAGTGGTACATATTAGCACCTAAAATGGACATATTAGCACCCAAAATGTACATATTAGCTCCTGAAATGAACATATAATCACCTAAAATGTACAAATTAGTACCTAAATGTACATATTAGCTCCTGAAATGGACATATTATCACCTAAAATGTACTTGGCATCTAAAATGTACATATTAGTACCTAAATCTACATATTAGCACCCAAAATGTACATATTAGCACTTAAAATGTACATATTAGCACCTAAAATGGACATATTAGCTCCTGAAATGGACATATTAACACCTAAAATGTACTTGGCATCTAATATGTACATATTAGTACCTAAATTTACATATTAGCACCCAAAATGTACATATTATCACCTAAAATGGACAAAAGTTTACCTTCTGAAAAGGTACAGCCCAGTGACAGCTTTTGTACCTTTTTTTCTGAGAGTGCATAGAAAAATACAGTTAGTTGATCATGTATTAATTTAGGGCATAACATATCGCCGGCGTTGAGTCGTCTCTTAATAATTAGCATAGCTGCTGTTCATAATATTAATGAATTAGATCTGATTCAACAGTAGTATAAAAGGTCAGCATTATGTGAATGCTTGGCTAAAGAGATGCGTCTTTAATCTAGTTTTAAACTGGGACAGCGAGTCTGAACAATATCGGGAAGGCTGTTCCAGAGTTTAGGAGTTAAATGCGAGAACGCCCTCCCTCCTTTAGTGGACTTAGATATCCTAGGAATGACCAGAAGCCTCGAATTTACTGATCTTAAATAGCGAGATGGATTGTAGGGCGATTTAAATACACAGGAGCTAAACCATTTAGGCCTTTATAGTTCAGTTGTAGTACTTTGTAATTGATACGTAACTTAATAGGTAACCAGTGTAGAGATGATAGAATCGGTGTTATATGATCATATTTTCTTGATCTAGTAAGAACTCTAGCAGCTGCATTTTGCACTAAGTGTAGCTTGTTTATTGAGGATGCAGGACCACCGGCTAATAAAGCATTACAGTAATCTAGTCTCGAGGTCATGATGATGTCATCTCTAAGTGCTACACCGAACTAAGTTTTGCATCTCATTTCCTTTTAGACTCAAAAGTACTGATATTGAAAGTTTCTCTGTGATGCATTGAGTTCTCCCCGGATACTGCACTCTTTTTCATTTGTGACTGTCATAGTAATTCTCCGCAGGCACTGATGCGCATTCAGGCCCTGATCTGCATGAAGACTGTCAGATGGACTTTTGATTTAAGAAGCTTCTTTTATCCTCTGTTCTCGTTAAGCCGTGGGTCTGAGTCGGTTTCGTGAGAGCACTCATGCATACGAACGTGACAGTCTGAGAACAATCGCTCATGTTCTTCAGCAGGTTGTTGTTTGAAACAGTCGAGCGGAACGAACAACACACTTTAAATTTCCAATGCAGATGGAGGGCAGCTGCTGACCTTCCACTTAACTTATTCACAGTGGATGCAGTAAAAAAGGACAATTATTCTACCATATGTGCCATGTTTTTTAGTAGTAGCTAAACCTGAAAAGGGGCCAGAATCTAACCTAGTCTTATGACAAACATGTTTTCATCCATTATATATCATTTATACACACATCATTGGATTAAATCCACTTTATTTCATTTATTCATTTGAAATAAAATTACAGTACATGTTAATAAACTGTAATTATAAAATTATTTTTTTTATTAAATTCATATCTAAATTAAAAATGATTAAGCATCAGTTGACAAACGCCCCATTTAAATATATCCAACTTTATTATTACATTGGATAGGCCTATATAAAATGATTTTATTTGCCTTGACATTAACATTTAATAGGTTAAGCTCTTGTATTTTTTTATTCGCTTCATTTGTTGTGCCTTTTTAGGTAGTCTAAACTATTTAGATAATCATTATTGAGAAATAGGTTAATTTTTTTTATTATTATTATTATTTTTAATATGAGAGAAACCCCCACATACACCTGCTACTGAATGGTCATAGAGTTGTTTTAAATACTGCAATTTTGTTAAATTCCCAACATTGTTTAACCCTCAGGTGCTCTTCGTTTCAGAGTCACACTTGTTATCTTCCTGGTCAAAAGTGACCGGACACCTAAAAATGAAACTTTCTCCATCCCAGTAAAACCAATGCAAATTATTTTTGTTCTATAATATTTATTCTTTTTAATTTAGTATTTTGAGACAATTTAATTGAATTTATTAATATTTATGCAATATTTATGGTTTATTTTTGCCATGGAAAAATATATATATTTTTTCTATATATATATATTATTTTTTTCAAAAAAATATTAATGTAGTATTTTAGTTTAATATAGAGTCTAGGCCTTCAGAAAAAAAAATATTTTTTGAAGAAAATTTGCACCATCTGGTTACAGTTTAGAGAAAAAGCGTAGAATCATGGTGTAACCACTAGATGACATGTACAGCTCTCTATGGAGAGGCATGTGAATTCCCCAGCTGTTTATGAACACATTTTTTTTTTGTTGTTGGTGGATTTGTATATATAGTTGAAACAATCTCAAAAACTATTTCTTATAAAAAAAATAACAAAAAACAAATATTCACAAATTTTTTTTTCATTTTTTTTTTTTTCATTTTTGTACAATTTCCCATTCATTTCCTATGGGGGTCATTTTTGACCAAAGACCACAAGTGTGACTATTTTTTTTAAGACCACTTAGCATGCTCAGATTTTTTTGTGTGTTCACATACATAATGCCATAAAAGTCACCAAGTTTCGCAACATCGCGATGAAACTGTGATTTTTAAAAATTCAAAACATACTTTTTGTAATCAAAATTTATTGGTGTGTACGTGTATAAAAGTGTGTTTGTATGTGTGTGTGTGTTGGTGGGTGTGTCTGTTTTGCACTCTAGATGTTGTAGAGTGTCGCCCCTTTCCTGCGGTGTTACTTAATTGTGGCCGATTTGTAGATTGTACATACAAAAATTCACAGATTTTTTATTTTTTTTTTGGTGCATTTCCCATTCATTTCCTATGGGTCGTCATTTTTTTTTGTGTTCGCATACCCAATGCCATAAAAGTCACCAAGTTTCGTAACATTTCAAAACAGAACATTTTTCTGTCAGAAATGACCGAAGAGCACCTGATGGTTAAAATAATTCGGGTCTTTTTGGGTCCATTTGGAAAAGGCATATTTATTTTAAGTTACCCGAGACTCAAAGCCACTAATATCGAACTCAACCCGTTAAGAGTTTTGAACCCGGACCCGCTCGGGTCGGACTTCAGGTTTTCGGATCCGAGTGGACCCGTGAAGAAGACCTCTACTGGGAGGTACACAGTTCCACTCACCACCATCCGGGTCACAACACCAGTGTCATACTCGCACCAATCTCAGCAAGACTTGAAGCAGCACCAACCAGTTTGGGAGATGGGACACTGACCACAGCAGCCTTATATTCCTCGGAAATGACTGGCATCCTTATTTTCATTTTCAGACATGTCTATTCTTCTGCTGTGGCTCATTGAATCTCTGTGGGTTCTGTGCCGTTCTAAATGAATGAATGTTCTTCAGTTGATAAACAAGGCCAGCTGAGCTGGAGCCTGACAGATGTTAGAACAGCTTCGGGTTTATTTTTTTATGAATCGTGAAAACAATACAGAAAGCAAGAGACTCAGATTTATCCTTCATGGCTGCCACCTGATTTGACGTTTGAAAACTATAATTTAGCCCAGAAAACAGCACATTAAGCTTCAGAAAAGCGTCACATCTAAGGAAAACCATAAAACATGTTTTTATATTCTTAGAGTATTATTCTTCAATATCTCATCATGCACCATTTAATCTACAGACATAAATGAAACCTTAAACAATGCGACCTGTGGAGAAGTAAGATGGAGAATGATAAATCTAGTGAAATAAATCCCATAGATTTACATTGAAGAGTCGTATCTAGACACTAGAATAGTTTTGCATCAACTCTACTCACATTTTCTTCCATAAAATGTCAAAATCTGGGGCAAAAACTAACGAGAATAAAAGAAAGACAACAGATAATGTCTTCTGAATGACTTCACATGAGACTGAGACTCAACACTTAATATGTTGTTTTTTAATGTCTTTGTAATCTTGCTGGGGTTTCTTGTATATCTGTTTGCTGGATGTGATGTGTTTGTGTTGTACCCTGATGGCAGACATTAGAGGTTTAATGATTAATAATGGTGGAGTAGCGGAGCAGAGCTGCCATCATGATCACCGATTACACCTCCTTTAAACTACATTACCCACACTGCCCCAATAATCATTTAGACTTAGCAAAAGCTCTATCCAAGTTGCCCGAACACAAAAGCTGAAATGTAATTTGTATGTGTGCATTAGTGGTGGGGATTTTTTGGAAAATGCATGTCAGCAGATGATAAAAAGTGAATGACTGAGTAAGTCATTGTTTCATTCGCTCAACCGTTTCATTCAGAAACACTGAATAATTCAGGAACGGCTCTCTCCTTCTGTCTTCTGCTTGCTGGTTGATTCATGTTTAGGCTTTGAACTGCAATTTATATCGTTTAACAAAATCCAAACACAACACACAAACAGTGCCAAGTAGAGCAGGATAATAATATCTCTCTCTCTCTCCAGGCTCCTACATGATGGTGAACTCTTCTCAGTACGGCGCCGGACAGCGGGCCCAGCTCATGCTACGTCCGCTGAGTGAGAACGACACACACTGTGTGCAGTTCAGCTATTTTCTGTACAGCCGTGACGGACACAGTCCCGGGGCCCTGAGTGTGTATGTGCGAGTGAACGGCGGCTCACGGGGAAACGCCGTATGGAACGTGTCCGGCTCTCGGGAGCGGCAGTGGCATCAGGTGGAGCTGGCTGTCAGCACGTTCTGGCCCAGCGAGTACCAGGCGAGTCCAAGACCTGCACTCAAACACACCATCACACTGACTTTCATTCAACTTACATGTCACAGTACTGTAACTTTAATATTTGATTATTATATATTTTTTAATATTTTTAATATATATATATATATATATATATATATATATATATATTTTTATTTTATTTTTTATATTCTTTTTTTAATTTTTATATATATTTTTTAATATATTTTATATATATTTTTTAATATATTTTATATATATTTTTTAATATATTATATATATATATATATATATATATTTTTTTATATTCTTTTTTTGATTACTATATTTTTTATTACAGTGTCAACTGCTTTATATAGACAGAAAAAACATTAACTTATTGTAATTAATACATGCTGTAGTTAATATAGTAGTTCTAGTAAATACTGTAGCAATAATTGTTACACTCTAAAAAATGCTGGGTTGTTTTAACCCAACTTTGGGTCAAATATGGACTAACCCAGCCGTTGGGTTAAATTTTTACATTACAAAACATTTCGGGTTTGTTTTTGACCCAAAAAAAACAACCCAGCATTTTTTTGAGTGTACATATAACAACAATACAAATCAAAAGTGTGGGGTTTGTTTTTGAAAAAAAATTAAAAAATAAATAAAATAATATATATATATATATATATATATATATATATTTTTTTTTTTTTTTTTTTTACTGAGCCCCAAATTTTGATCTGTAGTATATAAGCACTTTTCTACTATTGGGCTGAAAAGTTTTGAGCAAGTTTGGTCACAGTGTAATCATGAATTTGCAGCACTACAAATTGAAAATAATAAAAATAATTAATTAATTAAATAAATAAATAAATAACAGTGTCATTGGATCAGTAAAGAATCGTTTGATTTGGCATGTAATCGTGGTGTAAAAATGTAACACAAACACTGTATAAAAAACAATGTTAGCTTAGTTACTTTCACAAACTTTCAAGCACAGTATACAGTAACAGTACATATACTACTATAGACACTATATATACTATACACCTTTTCCCTACAGCTGTAGATAGTGTATTATCCTCAGCGCTGGGCTCACGGCTCGGTCCGCAGTGTGTGTTATTGACTCCTCGGATGCTTAGTGCACAGAACACCTTGTGTCACCTTGTTAAAGGCTATGATTAATAACTTGCCCCTCATTTGCTCCCCAAAAAGGCCATAATGACCAGTAAGTTGAGTATGTTAGTGTGTGTGTGTGTGTGTATAAGTGCACAGTCAATTAACCCCCGCTTCTGTGTGGGACCCGTTTGAAAGTGGAGGTCCGGTGTGGTTTCCACAACCCTGACCCGTATCGCTCCTCTCTCCATAAATCAGAGCAGCCTTAATGGGATTACAGCTCTGCCACGATCAATACACACACACACACACACACACACACAGTGCGCCACAGGGTTCCCACACAGAAAATGTGAAGAAATTATCTTTGCCCTCTCATTCCGTCATGGTTGTCGTTCAGACGTGTTGTGGTTGAATAAACAGAGAATATGGTAAAGCTGAGGAGTTTTGGAGATGTGGGAATTAGGCATGTGTAAAAATTGCCTGCAGTAATGTATGGCACTGTAATTCGTTATTGGTAAGTGTGTAATGAATGTTGTGTGTAATTGTGTAAAGAGACACAGACAGATGCAGAAACAGCTGTATTTGTGTTGTCATGAGAAGGTTATGAAGCAGTGGAGCAGACAGAGAGAGGCCTTTATAGGTGTATCAGCAATATAAATGTCTGACTAGTGGTGTTTCACTCAGATATTTGTGGATTGGCAGGTTGGGCGAAAAATTAAAGGATGATTTTTTGGCTTTTTCTTCTGAGATTACTGGTGGTGTACATTCAGGTTCACCCTCCCTTTAATCCATCCTTTCACTCTGTAATCTGTATCCGTCCGACTTGTTTGTTCCTCATTCCTCTTCAACTCTCCGTTACGGCTCATGGGTCACTGGACCCTTTCGGGCATCTTCACCCGGCTCACATATAGATTAAATCAACTCACGTATACTCCCTTTGGGCGACAGCAGAGGGAAAGAAACGAATGAAAGGAAGGAGCGAGCAGACGAGTGTCGAGTCAGGCCCGTGGGGCGGCAGCTCGTATTGAGGAGATCATCTCCCTCTTCTTCTAATCCGCTAAAACACAAAGGATCTGATTCATTCAGCACTCGCTGTCCCCTGTAAGACTGCCGTGGCCGTCTCCCTCGCAGGCTGATGTGACACTTTTGTGAAACCAATTTGAGCAGTTACCTGCAAACGAAGGGCTCTGTGGACGTCAAGCTTACAGCTTAAAGCGCTCATGCTGGAGGTTCTCAAACTTTCATAAGTCATGGTCCCCCTAGAACGATATAGCTTCTGATAGATGCGTGATGACGACTGAGAATATACAGTAGTTCACCAAAAGCTTACATCAAATTACATCAAATTCAACTCTGCGCCTTTATGTTCAGCCCGCCCACTGACTCTATACACGACGTGATTGGCCTGACTAGAGATAGCTCGCAACAAGACAACTGATAGTTGCTAGACATAATTGGCAGGAAAATACAATTTTCCTCCACTAGGGCGTCTACATTTCTATGCTATGAATCTACTGATTTATATATATATATATATATATATATATATATAGTATATATATGAAGAGTTCAGATGCAAAAGCCTCTAAGTGCCATTTGAAATTTTCTTCTTTAATGATGATTTTTATCAAGCTTTTATTTTCAAGTTCAGTAATTTCACTTAAATGACAATTAATAGGTAATCCTCATTGCAATTTAATTGAAATTACTGAACTTAAATATACAAGCTTGATAAAAATGATCATTCTAGAAGAAAATTTCAAATGGCACTTAGAGGCTTTTGCATCTGAACTCTTCAAATATATATAAACAAATAAAAAACAACAACTATATATATATGAAGAGTTCAGATGCAAAAGCCTCTAAGTGCCATTTGAAATTTTCTTCTAGAATGATCATTTTTATCAAACTTGTATATTTAAGTTCAGTGATTTCACTTTAATGGCAATGATAATTACCTATTAATTGTTATTTAAGTGAAATTACTGAACTTAAATATACAAGTTTGATAAAAATGATCATTAAAGAAGAAAATTTTAAATGGCATTTAGAGGCTTTTGCGTCTGAACTCTTCATATATAGACCATTTTGCAAGATGTAAACAACACTGGTCCAGAAGAACTTCCTGTTTCAGTTTTTTAACACTACATAAAAGCTGGGATAAAATACAACCAAAAGAACATATAAAACTGAATCAAAAAGTTAAACAAACATCTTTAAGATGTTTTATTTACATGTGAAATAAAGAAAACAGTTACAAACTGAAACAGGAAGTGTTTCTTGACCAGTGTTGTTTACAGTACATCTTGCAAAATGGTCTATATATATATTGTTTTGTTTTTGTTTTTTAATTTGCTGTTGTTGTTGAGGCATGTATGTTGTTATTGACCATAGTTTTACTTTTAGAAACTAAAAGCTGATCAAAATGACATAGATTACTCTAATTATTTTTATTTTTGCATAGTTTTTTCATCTTCTTCTTTTGAATATTGAGTGAACTGTCCTGGGCTCCTTGTTTCATCCCGTCCACAGTGGATTTCCAATATCCACAGCATTGATGTTGAGAGTTATTGATGGTGAACTGAGACACTAGTCAGTCATTATACAGCGAGGAGCAGAAGACTGGACAGACAACACAACTGAACGGTTCAGGAAAGGTCAGACCAGTTTTTTTTTCTTGTGGGACTTTCATTGTGTTTCAAAAGGTTAGAATAAAATTGGATGTTGATTTATAAAAACACAGCCAGCTCCAGTGGAATAGGGTTTTCATTGGGTGAGATGAGAAAAATCTGATTCAACCCTTGTCCGAGACCATGACCGTGAACATTGATCAAGAGCCATCTGGAATTTTGTTTGTTTGTTTGTTTTCACGTTATTTTTTCAAGATTACATTAACAGTTTGTTACCTTGGAAGTTGAATCTTACTTTATAACACACACACATTGGAATTGTATGTTTTATGTGGACTTCCCATAGACATAATGATTTTTGTACAAACTGTATATTCTAATTCACTGACCCTAAACCTACTACCCATCAGCAACAATTACATTTCCCCATATATTGCCATCTTTGTGAGGACATTTTGTCCCCATGTCATATAGTGTATACCTGAACCACACACACACACGCACACACACACACACACGCACGCATACACACACAAACACATACAGACATCAGGGATGTGTTGATGTATAGAAAACAGTTCCGTTAAATTTGAATAATATTTCAAAATATTACTGTTTTACTCTATCTTTGATTAAATAAATTAAACATTTTAATTATTCCATGCATTTTTGCATGATATTTTAATATGCAGAATTCAGTTGACTTAGTTAACTAAGCAAACAGCAGCACAGGGTGTTTTTGGCTTGGACAAATATAAATGAATAAGAACATTTAGAAAGAAAGACAAAAAGATGACAACATAGAATATACTTAAATAAATAAAGTTAATTTAATAAATGAAATACATTACTTACAGAAAATTAAATAAATAAAAGAATATTGAGAATATTGAGTGGTTTTGCAAGCTTAGGAATGACTTTGACTCTTTCCCAGTATGATCATTTATCTTCTGTCCTATTAACTCCTTTACATGACTGTCCCAGTCCCATTCCCACTGGTCTTCTCTTGGCTCAAACTCGTGTCCGTGGTTCTCTATTCCTTCATTTTAAGTGCCAAATGCAACCATGTTTTGCTAGCTGATTAGCAGAGTTTAATTGTTAGTTGATACCTCATTTGTGTTTTGTATGTTCCTGCGTCTTCAGAGCACAGCTGCACCCAAAAATCTAATAAAATATTCATAAACAGCTAATATAAGCTAGCTCAACAACTGTGTCTTTGTACCTGCACACACACACACACACTGCATACACTATGTTCGTTGGTGTGTCCCTTTCCGTTCATGA